TGAGAAGAAACTGTCGTTTCACCAATCATGATTAATCATTGCATGATTGTGTTTGTACTCTCCTTAGGAAAAGAGGTGTGGCTCAGCTCGTATCAGAGGACAGGGATGGGGTTGATGTTCAGTCCACTTTTATGGTTAAACAAGCCAGGAGGCCTTCTCAGAAAAGAGGGAAGCTGGGAGAAGGTTTGCAACAGAGTGGTGTTAGTCCTTTCCCAGCAATATTGGCTCAGGTGAAGGCATGTACTTGAGCCACTTCACAGAAGGGAGCATACAGGGGATATCTCAAGATATAGTTTCAGAGGCTAGCCCATGCCTTTCTGTACCCATGGTAGTATCATATTAGCAGCTTTGTTTGAATCTTACAGAAATGGTCATGCTCACTGAAGGGGTATGAATCTAGGAACAATGAAAACGTTTACAATGTGATAAATACACAGTTTCAATCTGCTTTGGGCTTTCTTAATTTTCATAAGGTCCAGCCTTATAAAATTAGTCTTTAGTGTAATTTAAATAAATCTAATAGCAAATCTTGCTTGCTTGTTATAGTGATAAACTATAGCCTCAAATGAAAATAACAAATGGAACATTTTGAACTTCCTCATACGTAGCATGTTTTTTGGGAAAATGTACTTTTTAATATCTTTTTCTGATTATTTTCATACCGTATTTGGTTAAATTTTAATTCTGCTTTTAGCCACAAAATGAATGGAAGATACAAATAGTCTAACCCATTTAAAAATAAGGATATCTTGAAGATATTTTATCTCTAAAGTGTCCATTGTTCTGGTTTTAAGATCAAACACCAAATTTAAATTTAAAAACAGCCAGAAAGAGTTTATTAGAAAAACACTAGTTAAATCTATAATTATTTAGGATCTCATGAATATATTTTCGTATTCCTTTTCAAGTACTGTAAAGTTATAAGTTTTTTTTTAGGAAAGTGGTCCGATGGTTGATGGTTGGCAATACAATTTTTGTATTGTGCATACGCGAGACTAAACCACTTTATTTTCTGTCCATTTGTGGCTGGTGAGTTTAATAAATGCCAACTTGGTGAGAGCAAAGCTGCTGGGTCTTGTTTGTCTTGAGATTAACGTGTCTTGAGTTGGCAGTTAGGATGAATTATTAAACAGACCTTGAAATTTCAAAGTCATCTTCTTTCTTCTGTTAGACTTTCCATTTTATGAGAAAAGAGAAATTATTAAAATCTGTAGCCTCTAACCCATTATTTAGCTTGTGACTTCATTCTAGGTAATAGAATTCCCAAAAAGTACACAGTACAATTCAGTTTCTTGACGTCACTTCTAGGCCTATGGCGACACCATTCATCTGATTCTACTTTTATGGTTATCTCCATAAGTAATCGTCAGAGTCTCCCAGTCCTCACCATCCAGTAGAGGTCAATGAGCAGCCGTTCCCCCCTTGAGTGAATCCTGATTGAACTCTGAATTCTGATTTAAAATCAAACATCTCTGTATCATTTCCAGCATATCTATTCTCTCTGTTTATGACATATTTTCTTGCTAACCTGAAGTCTACAAAATTGCTTGTTTTGATTAAAAACAACAATGAATGAATGATCAAGGGATTCTAGACCAAGCACATTACATTTGGGTGTTTAAGTCATGTTTCCTATTGGCCAAGTCACAATTTGGCGGGTGGTTTCATAGATGGGCATTGACTCCTTCAGACTTAGAGGTGCTTAGGATCCCTGGACATCTGTGCTGGGATGACAGACGGTGCTTTTACTGCTAATCAAAGGGGAGAAGGTTGGAGCATCTGTGCTCAGGTGTTTGCGCATGAATAAATGTGATTGGGAGCAGTGGGACAACGTATGGACAGATGATTAGATTCTTGGGAGAACACGCTATCGAGGTTAATATCCCCCCTCTGCTTAAAATTTCTCAAAATGTCTTCAGTGAACGTGGAATACATTAGTAATAAGAAAAAACAACCCAGGAGCTATTTTAAAAAATAGCCTTCACTGGTTCTTCATGGCCTGTGGGATGAAGTACCAGTGCCTGAGCATGAACTTGATCTTGACCTATTCACTTCCAGCCTCATCTCTTGTTGCCATGTCCTGCTTTCCACCCTTGGCTACAGCAATGCTCAGCTGCTCCTTTCCTCTTTCCTTCTTTTTCTGTGCAGCGTCTTTCCTCCATGCCTTATGCTCATGCTGTCCTCTTTCTGCCTCAAATCCCTTTCCCACCCCTCATCCAACCCCAGGCTAGATCAAGGGCCTCTCTCTGCTGTGCTCCCATAAACTCTGAGCATTGCACCTCCTCCCATGCATTATTTGTTCTCATGTGTCTGTTCCCCTCACTAGACTCTATCCTCAATGCTGAACAAATAAAAGACAACCAATGTTAAGTCCACTGAATAAAATGAATGTTTCAGTGCATGCTAGAGGTTAGAAAATAATTTTAAGTAACCAGAAAACTGTAATGATCTGACTAGTATCTACTTACTACCAGAAATACCCATTAACACAAAGGAAACTAGAACAATTTTGCAAATAGGCAAATAGGTAGAAATAAATGTGAACAGAGTCTCCATGTTCTGCTGTCAGTTTTAATAGCTGTTGGGATGGTTGGTTCTTTTAGTAAACTTTTTAGGAGATATACAACTAGTGCTGTTTGGGCTTTAATATTTTGCTTCTTTTCCAATGCAAGTCAGTGGGAGAACCTTTTGTACTTGCTTTGGTAAACTGATTCTCAGTGTCTTGCTCCTTCGTGCTCATGAGATGCACAGACATGCACTTAATAGACACCTGCTGCAGTGCTGGGTAAGAATGTTATTTTATATGTCTGAGTTTCCAGAATAAATCTTATTTATAGGTTTAGTGCTTTATCTTCTTCTAGCTAATATTATAAAGCTTAAATTAGAATAAGTAAAGAAAATATATATCAGAATCAGCTTCAAGAACAAAGAAACAAATATCGAATATTAAACTTCAAAGAGACTATTACCTTTCCCTTTACGGATAAGGAACAGGTGCCCCCAGGGGTCAATTCTCATTCCCTGAGGGCACCAGGACAAGAACTCTGGTCACCTGATTGTTACTTCAAAGGGAATGTGAATTTTCAAGCCAGAGGAAGTGTATTGAGAGCTGACTGGTTGTGAGGAAGAAATCCCCCATGCATTCTGGACCAACAGGTCTTGTTCACAAAGGTCAACAGCGGCCCAGAGCTTGGCCTTCCCACCCAGCGTCAGTTGCCTCTGCTCTCCTGTGCCTCTCTCCTCGTCAGTAGGCGCTGAGACTCCGGCCGGGTCCTTGACTTGGCTACCAACCCTTGAAGAGCATTCCTGATGGAAGCCTTTGGCACGGGCATTCAAATTGGGTCCTGCTGTTTCAGCCAGTAAGACAGTTTTCTTGGGTCAATACGGGGACTCTGGAAACTTTGGGAGGCTTCTGCAGGCAGCACTTTCTAAAGCTTTTGTGGAAGCAAAGCAGACCTACAGGTAGGTGCAGGCCCTTGACCTTCCTGGACCTGATCGGCACAGGGAGGAAAAGACATTTATGTTTATTAGCGCGGTTGGGGCAGATGCACTAAATCACAGCAAAGCTCACCTGGAGTTAGTCCGCAGGCAGAAAGAGGGGTAGGTGCTCTGCCCTTAAGAAGCTACCCTCAGGGCTGGCCTGGTGGCACAGCGGTTAAGTGCGCACGTTCCGCTTCGGCAGCCCGGGGTTCACCGGTTCAGATCCCAGATGCAGACATGGCACCGCTTGGCAACCCATGCTGTGGTAGGCGTCCCACATATAAGGCGGAGGAAGGTGGGCATAGATGTTAGCTCAGGGCCAGTCTTCCTCAGCAAACAAAAAGAGGAGGATTGGCAGCAGATGTTAGCTCAGGGCTAATCTTCCTCAAAAAAGAAAAAAAAAGAAGCAGCAGCAGCTACCCTTGAATACTGTTATGGGGCAGCTTTTGGGCAAACCAGGTAACACTCTGAACCTCAGTTTGCTTCTCTTCAAGTGAAGCTGATGGTAACACTTCCCTTGCCCGGGAGTTGAGCGTGCCGGGGATCATGTACGCTACAGCCATCACTGTGTGGGTGCTGTGGGTGAGGTAGCTGTTCAGATTATTACTGTTACAATACTACAACTACTTCTATAATTATTTTTGTTACTGCTAGTACCTAAAAAACTTTGCTGCTACTATTGTTGCATGCCAGTAGTTTGTCACTGGGCAGTCCTCTCTGGAAGGAGGGAGGCAGGAGGGCTCTGCAATTGATTTTCGAGAAGCTGTAGAAATTGTTATTCACTGTGCAGTGGTTAAGATCGTGGCCTTTGTGGGATTAAGACTACTTACTTCCTGGCTGTGAGATCTTAGACAAGTCATTTAACTTTGTGGGCTTTAGTTATCTCATCTATAAAATGGGGGGGTCATCATACTACCTATCACAAAGAGCTCCTGTGAGGATTAAATGAGATAATCTAAGCACTACTTAGGACGATGCCCAGCATACAATAAACACTTAATACGTGTTCTCTATTAAGCTATGAATGTATTAATGTGTGTTGGATCCTCATAACTACCTGGTGAGATAAGAGGCATCCTTATCTCTATTTCATGAACACTAAAATTAAGGCTCATGGTCTGCCATGTTAGTGAGTGATGATGGGGGGAGGGAGCTTTCTCTTCTCTCCTTTCCTCCCTTCCTTCTACATCTATTTATTTATTTATTGGACTAGATTGGAGAATAATGCCTACCTAGTTGATTGGGATTTAGGACACCTGATTCCTTTTTCAATTTCTTCCCCCCACAGCCCCACCTCCCTGGGCCAGAGCACTTACAAGAAAGTACTCACTCACATATCTTGCTGCCATTGAAATGACATCATATTTTTCTTTTGTTTTTTGCTACTAGCCTCTAGCTGTCATGTCCAAAGTCCCAAGTTTTTTATCTGAATCTTCAGACTTGAGAAATCAATAAGGTCAAGGAAATAAGAGCCAGTGTTTACATAAGTGTTTATTGGACTTTTCTTTATCATCTTTCAGGTCTTGTAGAAATCTGCCTGATGCACCCCCTCGATGTGGTGAAAACCAGGTAAGGTTCTGCATGAACAAGTTTTATTGACTTTGGCTGATATCCAAATTAAGATCTGTCAGAACACTAAATGCTAGAACTTGTCCTAGGCCGGTAGCTTCTCCCAATAATGGCATTTACATTTACTTCGTAAAGAAAATACTATTTGACAGATAAAATGTGAACAGTGAAAAGCATTTCTGGATAGAGGTCACCTGAAGGTACGTAATATTTTACTGCGTTCACATGACAGCCATAAGATATGATGTGTGGCTAAACTGGTAAGTGAGGTAAATTTATCAAAATGATGTAAAAACTGAACTTTATCCAGTGAATCATGACAGCAGACTTTCATTCCTCATTGCATATAACAGATTGCTATTTAAGAGTCAGCATTTTGGTGTGAGACTCCAAAATTTCAGGTAAACTTCTTAAATGGTGCTTAAGGAATTTTTTCCTACAACTGTTTTGCCAATGCAAAATGCCATATTCGCTCTTAAAGGGAGATACAAATCAGGGCAATGTGTTAAATTTATTTCCCAAGAGAAAAAAAATCTTGTGGGTTTTATTATGATCTGCAGCCTTTTTAAAAGTTAAACTTGTGACTGAATTAATGGACTCTCCATTTTTTTCAAATTAGAAGCTCTTAGAGTGTAGTGAAAGTTTTCATTTCTCTGTGTTGTGTAAAACCTGAGAACACCATACCTAGGTTGGAGCGTAATAGCAGACGGTGCCCTGCAACAACGTGGCCGAACAAACCCTCCCTGCCGTGGTTAGGAAATACTTGGTGAGCCAGGCTGGTCACTGAGTGGATATGCTGCTTCATTTACCTAAAAGGGCTGCAGAATCTTAGGCTGGTTGCTGAAAGAAAGGGAAGGTGACCATGATATGCAAATAATATTACATTTCTAATAGAGGTAGAGAAGATGAGAATTTGGCCTCCGTCTTAGCTCAGGCTGCCGTAACAAAATACCATAGACTGGGTGGTTCGTGCAACAGACACTTATTTCTCACAAGATCAAGGTACCAGTCAGTTCGGTCCTCAGTGAGGGCCCTCTTCCTGACTTGTAGACAGTCACTTTCTTGCTGTATCCTCACTGGCAGAGACAGGAAGCTCTGCTATCTCTTCCTTTTCTTATAAGGGTACTAATGACATCCTGGGGCCTCCATCCTCATGACCTCATCTAAACCTAATCACCTCCCATAGGCCCCACCTCCAAATGCCGTCACATTGGAGGTTAGGGCTTCAATATATGAATTAGAGGGGACACGGAACATTCAGTCCATAAAAGCCTCAAGTCTCCAAACTCAAACAGAGAAAGAAGAAAACCACAAATTATATCAAATATAAGATTTGTCCACTCCCTGGACCATCTTTTTGTAGGGTTCACAAACAGAAGGCAAAACTCGCTGGCATTTCCATCTTAGACTCCGTTAACCTTCTTTGAAAAGCCAGACTATTGTTGCCAGCCTCACTGAGGAATAAGTTATCATTTTCACTTAAGGGTAACTTCCTAAATCAGTGAAGTGTTCAAATGAGCATAAAGGAGAAGTAAGAATGATTTAAACAAGAAGTGATATTGAAATTATGGTTACTTATTCATTCCCTCCATCCTTCCTTCATCCATCTAGCAAACATGTATTGAGCGCTTAGTGTGTGTAGGTTGCAGACTAGCTCTGCCCTCAAAGAGCTCACAATCTGACAAGTTAATGGGAATCTCATCACAATGAATTTCAAACACTATGTCATTTCATGCTACTGGATTTGAATAAAATATTTCTTGAAATGTATGTGCCAAGTAACTGGGGATTTATATCTTCTTTGTTATGCAGATATTTTCATGAAAATGGCATTCATTGGTTGGCATTAGTCACGTGCCCTTGCCTAACTTCAACGGGGAGGGAAAATACAATCCTTCCAGGTGCACTGAAGGAGACGGGAACTGGATACTGGGTGGTATTTGACTGACATAAAAATAAAAAGTATACTAAATAAAGACCCAGAATCATAAGGTAAACTGAAAGCCCAGTGCATGTGCCACTGACTTTGCAACAGAAGGAGGATATGAAAGGTTGGTAGCATTTATCACTGGGCACTAACAACAGGTGATAGGGAGCGGACAGGACGGACTAAGTTCTATTGCACGGGAGATGGTTTCTAAATGAGATAAACTGTAAACTGTAAGGATACTACATGTAACCATGTAGACTTTCCTTAATGACGTCCAAGGGCGCTGGATTCTAAGCCGTCTCAGGCTTTGTCAAAGTGGGGCATGGGACACAGCAGGCCAAACCGCGCTTGTTTCATAGATTTTTTGTGGGCTGTTTTTGCCTCTCCTTGGACATTATTACTCGAAGCATGGTACACTGAATTAATCTGAGTGTGGAAATGGCTCGTTTTCCACAATATCTCATGTGCTAAAGTGTGGCAATGTAAATGTGTTTATTTCTTGAAGTCTGCTCTTTTCTTCTTGGGTTTTATTTGTGCCTAATCCTTTTCTATGTTGAATAAAAGATAACAGATTTTAAAGATATATTTCCAAATTCTTCCTGCACGTGAATTTTTTTATTATTTTTTTCATTCTGTAAATGATTGATTCTGTTACCCCAGGCTGGAGGGACAAAAGGAAGGGGTGGCGTTACCAGGGCCCAGGGGCCAGGGTTACCTGGTGGAAGCAGGAGCCCAAGGAGATCTGTCTAGTGGCAGCTGGAGTCCCAGAGGAGCCCAGCCACAGCCAGATGCACTGCCTGAGGCAGACAGCGAGGGGGAGAAATCCTCTGGTTTCTCCCCTCTCCTGAGTCTTCAGTCTCGCCCCAGAGCTCCTGTTTGCTGAACCCATGGAAGCATGGGAAGCCCAGCCTTGCAGAGGGCAGTCCCTTTGCGTAATAGAGCAGATCCGAACAAAGGAAGAGCGAGAAACAGCTCTGAAGACAAACAGAACCAGGACTGACACACCGTCATTTTAGATCTGGAGAAAGAACTGACATAAACCTGCATTATCTTTTTTTTTTTAATTGAGATATAATTGACATACAACATTTTATTAGTTTCAGGGATACAACACAATAATTTGATATTTGTATGTATTGCAAAATGATCACCACAATAAGTCTAGTTAACATCCACCACACATAGTTACAAATTTCTTTCTAGTGATGAGAACTTTTAAGATCTGCTCTCTTAGCATCTTTCAAATATACAATACGGTATTATTAACTGTAGTCAGCATGCCATGACTTACATATCCCCAGGACTTATTTATTTTATAACTGCAAGTTTGTGCCTTTTGACTCCTTTCGCCTGCTTTACCCACCCCCACTCCCAGGCCCTGGCAATCGCCAGTCTGTTCTTTGTATCCATGAATTTGGTTGTTTTGTTTGTTTGTTTGTTTTAGATCTCATATATAAGTGTGATCACAGGGTATTTGTCTTTCTCTGTCTGACTTCTTTCACTCAACATAATGCCCTCAAGGTCCATCCACGTTGTCACAAATGGCAAGATTTCCTTCTTTTTTATGGCTGAATAATATTCTGTTTTATATATACCACATTTCCTTTATCCATTCATCCATCAATGGACACTTAGGTTGCAAGCATACATTTTCAATTCAGAATGTTTAACAGGAACTCACTTTGCTTTTAAAAAGGTGAGTAGAAGTTATTACAGGTAAACCTTTTGTGGAGCGATTATAGGCACTGGGGCACTAGGCATTATATAGGAAATAGCTTATCCTGTTCCACATAAGTGTAGGTCCAGGGATAGACCTAATGTAAGCATAGGCTGGCCACGTGACGACTGCCTTGTTCTGTGTCCCCACCTGATTTTAGCAGAGGCCATTTGGCTAAGATGCTGTATACATTGCAGTTAGGTATGATCAAGGTCTCCTTTGAGATTCTCTCCAGAGACGTGCAGCTACACTGTTTTATAGTTCTGTTTATATACAAAGGACTTTGTGTACAGTTGTGGGTGGACCCTGTGTTTGAGAACCCATAGCTACAAATAACAAAAGACCCTATTCACTTGTATATCTAGGAAGACTACAGGTAGTTTCTGGCTTTGTATTCTCCAGGGATTCAAATAAAATCATGAGTACTATCTCCTCTCTCTCTCATATTATTTCTCATTCTCTCATATTCTCTCTCTGTCTCTCTCTTTGTTTCTCTTCCTCTCTCTCTCCTTCTCTTCTGCTTTTCTCCCCCCTATATAGGCTTCCTTTTGGGGTGGCTTCTCACTTGGTACCAGATGGCCCCAGCTGCTTCAAGCTTATGTAGTCCCTGGTGTTTGTACTCTCTCTGAGACAGGCTAGCCTCCTAGTTAAGAACTCTGGCCCTAGAGTTAGGCTGCCTGGGTTCAAATCCTGCTTCTTTGCTTATTATCTGTGTAACCTCAGGTAAGTTACTTAACTTCTCTGTGCCTCAGTTTCTTCATCTTTAAATGGGAACAATATTGGTATTTACATTACTGTGAGAAATAAATGACTGTGTGTCCATATATGTATATATAATATATATGAGCACCAGCTGAATACTGTGTCAGCAAAGGAGAGGGACCTACAAAGACAAATGGAGTTTATGAGGTAGTCAGGGAAACGAGAGGGAGAACACGAAGTGTGGGAGAGAGGAAGTGTTTAACATGGAGTCAGGTGGTTTCAAGTTTCCAAGTGGGAAGACTTGTGCTATGTGAGCCCTGCGTTTAAATCCTTTCTCAGAAGGGCGTTTGCAAGTCGAGAGTCCTTCTGGGTCTGAGGGCAGGAGAGCGTCAGTTTAGTCTGTGTTCCTGTTGACTTCATTCCACACATCACTTTAGGGCTGTGTGCTGACATCCTCAGGGAACCCCCATGGCTAGCACAGTGCCTGGCCTCCAAGGAGATGCCCGGTGAATGCTGCTGAACAATCGAGTATTTGGTAACAATCAGAAATAGTAGCCCTATGAGTTCTGTGGCCAAACTGGAACGTCTAGAAAATGAATAATACACAGCTGTGTTGTCTTCATTAAAAAGAGTAAGGTTTCAGGAAAGAGA